ATCTGTTTTGCATACAATGACAAAGAATTTAGAATAAAGGTATGGAACTTCTTTGATTTTAAAATGTAAAATTAATTAATTTCCTGATGAATAAAATAACTGTATTTTGGGTCTTCATTTTTCCAGTGAAACAGTATTAAAAATCTGAAAAATCAGACTGTTTCCATGAGACCAAATGAATAGTTAGCTGGAGGGTCAGTATCCATTTAAAGTGAAAAGGTTTTGCATGTAATACATCCTCACATTTAAACTTTAAACTGTTTCATGAGAGCAATACATATTTGAAGATACTCAGTCTCATTCCCAGGCTACAGTGTGTAATGCCTCAGAGGCTGCCAGGTGGATTTGAAGCACTGATCTGAAGGCAGGTCTTCTGCCTCACGCTTCTTTCCTACAACACTTTATTTTGCCCACATATTCCTTCCAACTCTTTTCTATCTCCTTCATTGAAGCCCATTCTTGATCTTGGATTGCCTCAAAACAACTTAGGAACCCTTGGACCTTCCAAGGATGGAGAACGTGGACACAGATCCTGGAAGGTCACTGCCTCTTTTTGCTGCAGGAAGAAAGTTTTTCACTGCCGCCTCCTCTCCCATCAATATTTGAATATGCTGTAGTTTCTCCAGAGCAAACTCCAGGTTATTTGGGCATAGGTATTACTGTCAAATTTAGCTCCTTCCTTGGCTAGGTTCCAGAATCCAAAATATAATTTCAAAGTTTTGGTGTTCGAGGTTTAATGCAGCAATTATATCCTTAATAGACAATTTTTTCAGGTGCTGAACATTTTGTCAGGGGATAACATGGTGATGGTATCTAGTATCTCAGCTAGTATCCACTCCTGTTTCAAGATATGTTTAATTGGGACATTTTATAACATGATCCAGTGATTGATACTGCATGTAAAGGTGGGGAAGTCACAATAAAATTTCTGCCATTAAGGCGAGGAAGAACATACAGAATGAAATAGATGTCATGAAGTATTTACAGGAGTTGAGACTCCTTATTTGTGGCTAGGGATTGCTTTTCATTTGACAAGAGAGAGGAAAAAGTCAAGCATGGTTTTTCATCTTATTTTTCCAAGTTTCTGGATATCCATGTCAGAATACATTACATTGTTAGCTTCTAAAACTAAATTGGCATAATTAAAGATTTTTTGACTGCTAAATGATGTTTCTTATTGTGTCAGGATTTTCTAGGGCTGCTTTTAAAATAATTTTACTAGTTTGGAAGAAAATGCAGACTTCTGAATTAAATAATATTCTGTGGAAACAGTTTGAAATTGCATAATGGTTGCAGGTCTTTATAGGAGACCAAGATAATATAGTGCATGTGCATGTTTTCAGATTGCAGGTGGCATAATGAGATAGGAAGAATTTCAGAAAGTTAATCTAAAGTGAAGAAAGCATGCGAGAAGCTCATATTCCTGAATCTGTCAATAACTGTGCAAAAGTCATAAAATGAAAAATTAGAAAATCTTTCTTATTACTTACATGAAGTTAGGAATGTCTGGAAATGAAGCTGGGGACACATGAGATGAAGAAAATTGTGACCAATGCTACTCCTATTGAATCTAAGAAATAAATTTTGACTATGAAGTGGCTTCATTCATGCCACAGAAATTAGCCATTGATATCCAGGGGAATGAAATGGGACCTGACTGATACAGTTTGTTTTGTCTATTCATTCAGTACTTTTTAATGAAGCAACTAAATTAGGCATAACTTGCTAATAAACATATTGCAAATTATTAAAATTATAAATGTGGCCTTAAATACTGTCTTACTAGATTGTGATCCAAAGAGCCTTGGAAAGGTGCTAATGCAAGTGAATATTCTGAAAAGCAATTCCTCACTGTTATTTTGCAGTGAAAATATAATACCAGTAATATAGTTCTTTTGCTATAAAATATTTATCTTTTGAAGCACAACAAATTATTTGTTGTATTTTAACACTATTCGTCTGATGTTTTCTCAACTTCTTCTCTGAAGCACTCACCTAAAATGAGAAAAATCTGAAAAGGCCTTCTTTGAAACTAAGGATAACTAACATCTTTCAATAATAGTACTAAATAGGCTAAATTGTACTACTTATTTTATATAACTATTGAAGATATTTGTTCAGTTTTAAAATATTCTATAAATTTCTGTATGACTTCAGATCATGTGGCTTTCTTATATGTTGTTTACCTGCTTCAACAAATAAGTTTCAAGCAGCCCTGTATTTTTTAAATAAAGTATTTTTAATTTTTCTGGCTCTAACTGAAGTTCACATATGTTTATAACATGTCTAATTCTTTCACCACCATTACTCGTACCTATCACACAGTATTTAATCTTAAATATTAGAAAAAAAAAGTCAAATGTAACAACTTGCTCTTGCTAGTGAAGAACCTCAGACCTCAATTGTCATTGTACATACACTATATTTGAACAAGAAATATGAATAAACTAATAGTCTGCCAGGGCTTCTGAAAATGGATAAATAAAAATTGCCTCTCCATATGGTAGTGAGAAATGTAAATTAATTCCAGGGGCCAAATTATGTGGGTTTTGTAGGGAAGAATAGAATAGAATAGAATAGAATAGAATAGAATAGAATAGAATAGAATAGAATAGAATAGAATAGAATAGAATAGAATAGAAATAAAGGAAGAAAAAGAAACAAAGGCGAGAAAAAAGAAAAAAGCTTTTTATCAAAATCAAGCTAAGAAAGAATAATGAGATTTTTTTTCTCCATTGTCAAAAGCATCATACAAATCCCACATAAAGATGACCCAGAACCCATTTTAATAGTGTAAGGTATTTTGAATGAACAGCATAGCAAGTAGATAGCTTGTTGTTTACCTAATAAAGTTTTGATTTGTGTTAAAATGCAGTTTGAAAACAATCAAATCTAAAAATCATTTTGGCATAACCAAGAACAAGATGTCTTGACAATATGAAAAAAGAATGCCTACCTCCTCTTGAAATTCACCTGTCTTTTGCTCCTGCTGCTAGATGAATTTCCAGTAGGGGAAAAAAAAATGTTCTGATTCCAACACAACGAGTAGGTGGGACCTCTGCTCTCTCTCCTAGTTGCTTTTGTAAGAGCCATAAACAGTATTCACTAAATTCTATATTAGATACCAGGTAAATTACAATTATGATGAGACAAGACTTCCTAACATGCTTTGCAAAGTGATGTGTAAGAGCTGTTTTATTGCAATTACCTCAGAAACTTTTGAACATGAGGAACAGATTGAAGAGATGGTTTGTGGGAAAATCCATAGAAGAGAATCCTGGAGGCAAGCCTAACTGCCACCAACCACATCTGCTAAAATCCCAATTAAAAAGAAAACATGCCACTGTAAATTCCATGTCTTATGAAGTGAAAAGACGGAGAGCACATAACTGTTACTGAAAGGTGTGCTGATATAAGTAGACTAAAAGCCTAACTACTAACAATTAAATTGGTAAAAGTTTCTGGATGAGATCCCACGTGAATATTAACAACTGTGCATGCAGTATATAAATTGCATAAATACAATGTGATTCCTATCTAGTATCTCAGGAAATAAGAATTTTTAATTTCTTTTTAACTGACCTTATCTTCACTACAGTGAATGCAGTAAAAATTCACCATGGTCAAGTAAATCTAGACTTTTTCAATACTGGCAAAGTTGATTCTTCCACGTCTTTGTCAGTTGCAATTCGAACAGGTGTTTTTAAAGAGGCTAACCACAAGAACTGCTTCATCTAAGCCCTGTAACCTTGTTTCTCAAGAATAAAGCTTTTGGACTAACACTTTGTATCTTTCGTATAATAAATCGTAAAACAGCAAAATAGATCATACCTATGATTTCTTGTAAAACATACCTAATAGAACTTAATCTGATAATTCATGTAGTATCAAATACATCCATTTTGGTTCGTCAGCATTTAATTTAACAATATCAAATATACATTCCATTTTGATTTATGAGGTGGGTATAGTAAATTTGAATGGATACATTTTAGTTAAATCAGAGGCTTTTTTTTTCCATTTAGGTTTGGAGCTCGGAACTGCGAACCTTGATAACAGGGTCTTGTTTCTAAGATGTCTTACTGAGATCCGGTGGTGTTCCATGATTTATCATAGAGGAAAAAACTAAAATAAAATAGTAATTGAAACGATCTCGTAGTCTTTTTGTCTGTTTGGGTGGTTTTTGTTGCCTTTTTTGTTTATTTTGTTTGTTTAGGGGTTGTTTGTTTGGGTTTTTGTTTTTTTTTTCCGGGGATATACATCAGTTTGTCCACCAGTTAATCAGAGGGAGAGTTGCGAGTCGTGAAAAATCCTGCTGGCCGCAGAACACACCGGTTTCTGCAGAACCTTCTGCTAGTCTTACACCGGAAAACAAATTGCTTTCGACGTCCAGACTCACTCTCTAATGAGAAAATGACTCACCACCAAACTTTCCCATTCCCGTCGGAAAATGCAGTTTCCCGATGGTGGTCACACCGTGGTGACCGAGCGCTTCTCCCCGGAGACACCGCCTCCTCACTAACGACGCCACCCGGGGCGATTCCCGGCGCCCGCTGCCTTTCTCCCCAGCCTCGGCGCGCAGTCCCATCCCCGCACCACCCTGGCCAGCCTCGCCTGCCGGGCAGGACCCTCGGCGTTGCCAGCCGAGCACAAGTTGCGGCGCGGAGCCCGCGGAGCCCACACGCCGGGCCGGGCCGGGCCGGGCCGGGGCGGCACACGGGGCCCTCCGCGGCGGCGGAGCCGGGAGGGCGGCGGCGATTGGCGGCGGCGCTGACAGCGGGCGGGGCGGCGGCGCCGGCACCGCCCAACCCCGCTATAAGCCGCTTTGCCGCTTTCTCACTGGGTCTCATTTTCGCTCCGTGCGTTGCTGTGGCTGCGCAGTGGAAATCCGCACCGGGGAGCTGCTGAGGGGCGCCGTTGTCATGTGAAAGCGCACATGCTCTGCCATCCACGCGGCACCCCCCTCTCTTCTGCCTCCGCGTGTTTTTCCCGTTTTTTCCTAACGTAACTCCTTTCCTCCTCCTCCCTGCTCAGCCCCTCGCCGCCGCCCGGCCGCTCAGGCGCCCCCCGCAGAGGCTCCGCCGCGGGGCGGCCGCCCCAAGCAGCGCGCCCGGCGGCGGGGAGCCCGCGGAGCCGCGCCCCGCGGAGCCGCCGCGGAGGAATGGTTTTCCCGGTGGAGCGGAGCTGCGGCGGCTGCCACCTTCGCGGGTGTTGAGACGGGATTTGTGCGGTGCGGTTCCTGGGCTCCTAGCTTCATGACTGCGCGGAGCGGGGAACCAACACCATGCGAGGTAAGCGGGCCGGAGGGCGGCTCTCTTTTGGGAAAGCTGTTGGGGAAACGGGCTGGAGAAGAGGTTTCGTACTAGGGGCGAGGGTCCGGGGGAGAAAGTTGATGGGTCGTTCCAGCCAGCCGGCGTGACTACTGATAATACGTGACGGCGTGATTCCTGTACCCGCGGGGGCCGCCACCCAGACCGAGGAGCCTTCCGCGGCAGATGGTGGGCGCACACCCCTCGTACCTGTCCTGGGAAGCCCAGCCAGCCCTGGCCCGTGGCGCGCAGGCAGAAGGGAGGCTGCGGTGCTTGGCAGGCAGTGTCTGTGCCGTGGAGTCCCCACCTGCGGGGCGCGGCAGGTGTCCGTGCGGAGGAACCCGCTGCCGCTTGGTCCCGGGCCGCTGCCGGCACGGAGAGGGGCTCTGCTTTCCTCCCCAAAAGTTATTTGGACTTTGTTCCCCAGCCGGCACGTCGTCCGGATGCCCTCATTCCCCATGGGTTGCTAATCGGGCGGGAAGGGTTGCGCTGCCCGGGAACCCCTTCCCCGTGCCCGCTCGTCTCCTCGGTGCCCCGAGCCTGCGCTTCCTGCTCAGCCCTGCCGTGGAGGGCGGTGCGAGACTCCTCCAGGGCTGGCGGCCGCACCCGGTGGGGGTCCCGCCGGAAAATAGAGCGTCGTCACCCACTGGACACCCTCGGGCACGGATTGTCCCGTGGGGCTGGAGAGAGGCTCTGTGCTGGCACCCAAGTGGGTGTGGAGGGCTGCGAGGGACTTGGGAATGCGTTGTTTCCGTGTCTCCCTGGGCCGGGCGGTCAACAACACCGGGGCAAGAGCAACCCCTGCCAGCCTCGAACGTCCGCTGGGGTTACACAGCTCCTCTGCCCCCCATCTTCCACGTTGCCCTTTATCACCCAGTTTGTCAGGGCGGTTGCTTGCCTCACCCTTGGCATGGTAAAAGGGACAAAAAAGTAGCCTCTACCAGGGTTTTGGAATGGAGGAGAAGGGCTTATGAGGAGTGGGACGCGCTCGGGGTTGACAGCGACCCTGCATGCAAATTTCTTGATCTTCCATTTAAGGACACTAGAAAGAACTTCTAGCTAGAATTTCAGCTTGTTCGCTGTCAGCTCCTGTAACAGCATGTGTTAACAGCACTAGCAAATCACACGTGTATAATTCGCTTTAAAGGAATTGTAACTGGCATTTGCACAGGTCAACTTAAAAAGACCTTTTTCCCCTGCGTTCTTTTTGTTAGGATGTTGGTTGTGGGGCATCTGGCAAGAACTTGCTAAACGGTGTTTGTTTTTCTTAAGAGCAACAGGAAACAGAAGGAAAACACTCAGTTCTATAAAGTCGCCCGTGTTGCAGCTTTGCAGTTTGGGTTGGAGGCTTTCTGTTTGTTAGAATATAGGGTTTTGTGGGTTTTGGTTTTGTTTGTGTTTTATGTTATGGTTTTTTATTTATTTCTTTTTCTGTGCACCAGAGCGCCACCAATTTGAGTAAAGCTGGTCATTGTCTCAGGGTTTTTTTTCAAAACAAGCCCATCCAGGCTGGTCAGGAACCCCAACTCCCCTTTTTGTGGGCAGCTCATCCACGCTAGCCTTGGCTCCCGCGCCTCTCCTCCACGGCCCTGGGGTGGCCTGTACAAGGGTGGAGAGAAATGTCCTCCCTCTCCTCAGACCTTTCCTTCTAAGCAAGGCCCGGGGTGGTCTGGCTGCACTGGGCCTGGAGAGGGAGGCAGATCTTGCCGCACTTCTGGCAGCATCTCTTGAGGGATCTGCCCCAGCTCCGTAGCAATCTCTCCCACTCCTTTAGCTGTGCTGCCAGCTACTGTGAAGAGGTGCAGCCCTGCCCCTAGAATGCAAATTAGTATTTGCATTGTATTTATGCTTACTCGAAAGGAAATTTACAGGTGGGGAAAAAAGGGCTGGGATGGATGGAGGAGAAAAACAAACAGGCACCTTTCATCCTTGTTTGAAACTCATGTGCAAGGGTAAAGTGAAGTTTTTACAACAGGTGCGTGTCAAGGTAAAAGTAGTGCTTCACACTGCCTCAATTAAAAAGGAACAAGGAACGTTACATGTTAATTGCGTCTTTGTGGCTTTCCAAATAATGGAAATAAACGAGTGTCACTGCTCACAGATTGTGAGCTCCCATAAATTCGTGCTTTTAGAGAGCTGTAAGCCTTCTTGTAAAGGTGTAGTTGTTTTCAACTGCAAACTGTGTTTGCAGTTGGTTTGAAGGAGGAAGCACTCAGTCTTGAACTTGTGAGCTATTCCCCCAAACTTTCCCAGCTGAGCTGTGATCCTTCCAAGGTGCAGTTAGCACAACATGCCTAGGATGTGTAGGTGGTTCATTACTGCCCTGCATTGGAGATGGCCAAAAAGTACCTGAAAATATCCAACTGGTGTTACTGCCTGCTGAATCCCAAAGCACTGGACAGTCACCCAGACTGTCAGTCATCCCGTCCTGTGGAAGCCAAGATAACATTTTTAGCTGCTGTAACAGTGTTACAGTCACTGGTCACATTCTATCCAAAATAATAATTTTCTGCACTTCAAACCTTGATTTCAATCCCGTTAAGCATACGTAGCCATACTGACTTAGAGCAGAACAATTACAGGAGACTGAACATTTGTTGTTATGGTAGGTCTAGATATTTCTCTCTGAGTAGGAAATGGAATTGTTTTAAGATGGTGACTCTTCTACCAGTATTTTATAGAGGCAAACATAGGTATAAAATAAATTTACAGTGAGTGTTCATCACAGTCTTCCTTCCATCTGTCCCACTCCTGGGAACATCCTGTGAGGGAGTTAAGAATGTAGAATGTGTACTTCAGTATATTTTTTTTAGAGAAAGAGAACAGGAAAAGCACTAAAATGATGATGCTATTTAACTGAAAAAAAAAATTACATTTCTCCTTGTAGTTTATTTCTTACTAAAATTATTAGTTTAAAGCTATTAAAAGTTAGTCAATTTTGTGCATAATGCAGCTGTTACACAGACGTGGAAGGTTGACTGTGGCAAAAAAAGCATCAAAATAGCTACTTTTACTCTGGGAACATGTTACTCATACACATACAAAAGTCAATTTTGCAGTTTGTAATTATTTGAGTCGTGAAAGTGACATTAGTATCCAAGTAATCCACTTATTACAAAAGTAATATTTTAACTTTTAGGTGAAAATCTTACTAAAAGGTTTTTCTGATATGTTTAAAAGAAAAGGAGCGCCACAAACCCCTTGAACCCAAGTTATTTGAGTTTTCTTTGTATTTTCTTGTTGGTGTCAGGACTGAGCAATAACGCATGCTACATGATGTTATGTAGTTATTCCATTTTCTTAGCATGACTAAAATATTTATAAGAAGTTGGAAAAGTAGTCAAATTCTACAAATTCTATCTGCAGTATTTCTAAGCAAGCTTATTAAGCAACATATACAAATAGACTGGCTAACTTAGAAGTTTTCCTTAACTGAGTACATGAGTGCAGGGAATCTTTATAGACTCATTAACTTTAAAGGAAAATTATTTTGTAATTTATTCCAGGAAGAGTAAATGTCTCTCTATTTGTAATATGTGATGTTTATATTTCAATTGCAATGACTATTTAAAGAAAGGACTTAGGACCTTACCCCACCATTGTAAAACCAATTTGTCCTCACAGTGTAGTGCATCTGGCGACTCCTTAACTGAATAATTAACTTCATTTGGACTCCTTGATATGTGATAAAGCACAAATTTCTGTGTTAGGTGTTTGCAGGTGAAGTTTAGTAAGTGTCAGTAAATGCTTTGAAAATCCTGATTCAGTAATAAATTGTCACATAATAAAAAACAAAGATGTGTATAGTCAATAAACAGTGATACCTCTCTAGAATGACCAAAGTAAAAGTATGAGAACCCACTTGTACCTCAGCAATACTTTTACTTTGCATTGGATCGTACTTACATTCCATACAATATGTTCCATTTATCTTTAATTGTAATATGCTACAGTATGGGGGGTCAGAGGAGAGTACATAATGAAAGTTCATCAATAGGTAACTATATGATTTAATATCATATAGATGTAAGAATTTTTTCACAATATAATTTTTTTTTTTTAAATTTACATTGTTTTCATAGGTGGAATGTTTTTCATTCCAGTTAATTTAAAAACTATGAAAATACCATGTGCATTGGCTGGGAATAATTTCTCTGTTGTAGTATGGAAGTTATCTGACTTCTGCTGTTGGTCTTTCACATGTCCAGTGACAAGCAGTAAGTTGGTATGATTTTTCTAATTTGACAGTACAGTAGTAGAGGTCATTTAAATTGTATTTTACGGTAAAAAAACTATTTTTGGCATTTGGTAAGTAGATCTGTCAGGGCAAAAATGTTCTGAGTAGACAAGGACTCTGGAAGTCATAATTCCTGTTTAAAATGCTAGTTTTTGGAAAGTCTTTAGGGCGCAATGTAAGGTATTGTTGTGTATCATAGTGACGTTTGCCTCCTCAGAAACATGTGGGTAAGGTGTACCTTCAACAGGACTGAATTTTTATTAAACAGTTCCAGGACCCAGGGTCTGCCATAGTGTGCACATAAGCTACCTGACACAGGAAAGCAGTTCAAAGGGGTGAAAGATCAAGTTACCCAAGAAATTCCCACCTCTCTAGCAGTGCAGTGAATTCCCAGAAATTAAGGTCTGCACTGTGAAACTGAAGAATGTATGCTTTGTAGGTGCAGATGTGCACAGAAGTAAGTATTGATGGAAGTAATCATCTGGTGAATAGAAATGAGCTTTATCAGTACAGCAATGTAATGGTTTATGTTAACCAGCCCTTTTGTAGCCTATACCCTGCTTTTTACCTCCCTTTTAATATGGGAAATCACAGGTGTTACAGGTAAATTGGGCTAAACACAGTCGCTGTTCCATGGGACAAAACGAAAATAATTATAAAGAAAAAGACAAAGTCTGAGCATTGCTGCATCATCATGAGATAACAGTAGTGTGTTAGTGGTTGTACATTGTTTTACAGTTCTAAG